AATAATAGCGTGGTTGATGTTTCTGTTTCAAACAATGCTTCTTTTGTTTCTAAAACTGATGTTTTAATTTGTGATAACTCAATGTTAAAGTCTGTTGATCCAGTTGTTTTGTTAAAAGTGGTGATGTACTTGCTAAACTGATGTTTCTGTCACAAGCACATCCACTCAACCCACAGTTGTCTCACCATCTGAGTCTTACACATGCATGTGTGGGAAGAGTAAAGGAGTAAATAAGAATAATAAACTAGAGAAGAGTGGTACCAGTTTTCATGATAAGAAACAAGCTTGTTTTAACTGTGGAACTGCTGGACATATTTCTCGCAATTGTCCAAATCGAGCATTTGCTCCTTTTCATGTGCACAAAAGAGATACCAAGTCGCGAGGAAGATATCTCGTGAGAAAAATCTCGAGACCTCGTTCTCGTGATGATGATTGGAATGTCAATAATGACAAGAAATGGGTTGAGCTTAAAAGAAATAAACAGGTTTTTTATGAAAATATAACAGGTACTTTCACGAAACCGAAGGCGGCTAAGCCAAGGTCGGATACGTTAAAGTGTTCGTGTGGGTCTTCTTATAATATTAGATGGAAGCCCAAACGATCACAACAAAAAAAAACTATTTCAAAATCACCTATCATTTTTTCTAAACCTAAATACCAGTGTGTGCCCAAGAATTTAAATGTCTAATCATCACAATCTTCTACTTGTGCATCTGGTGATAAATCAAAATCAAAAAGTGAAAAAGGAATTTTTGTTGCTAAAAATGGAAAACCCAATGTTTCAATGACCTGGGTTCCACAATCTAACCAATCTCTCGCACAACATGCAGGAATAGCTACGGAGGAATGTTGTGAGACCCTGGTATGTCGACAATGGTTTTTCCAGGCACGTGACATGAGACATATCCCAACTGCATGACATTTAAAATTTCAATGGGGGTTATGTTTCCTTTGTAGGAGGAGAAGGCGGAAAGATCACGCAAAGAGGAACCATTACCAATGGAGTGTTGAGTTTTGAGAACATTAATTATGCTCCCGAGTTGAAGCATAGCCTATTGAGTTTCTCTCAAATTTGTGATAAGGGCTACTCTACTCACTTCACCGATAAAGAATCCCTTATTTTGAAGCTCGAATCATTATTCCCGAAGATTGGATCTTAGTGAAATCAAAGCGGGGTGGAAATGCTTACATCATAGACATGAATCATAATATCCTGGAGCAAGTCACATGTCTCTTCTCTAAAGTCTCTGAGCACAACGACATGCTTTGGCACCGTCGACTCAGTCATCCAAATGCCAAGAACCTGAATCTTCTTGCCAAGAACGAGATAGTGTGGGGCCTACCTGTCAAAGACTTCATTACTTTTGAAAAATAAGTGGTGTGTGCACAAGGAAAACATCATCGCAAGCCCCATTTTCCAAAGGCAGTCAACTCAATCAGCAAGCTTCTCCAATTTTTGCACATGGATTTATTTGCTCCTGTCAACATTCTTAGCATCAACAAAAACTCCTATTGCTTGGTTGTGATAGATGACTACTCGAGGTTCACTTGGGTTTTCTTTCTATCCAACAAGAGCGGAATTGCTGATTTGATCAAGAATTTCGTGGTGATGATTGAGAATCAAACAAACGAGCAAGTGAAGGCGCTCAGAACGGATAATTGTATGGAATTCAAGAATATTGTTCTGGATCATTTTTGTGCCGAAAAGGGTATAATGCGTCAGTACAGTGCTGTTTGCACACCTCAACAAAATGGTGTTGATGAACGGCGCAATCGTACTCTAATGGATGCCGCAAGGACGATGCTATGTGATTCTAAACGTCCGGTCTTCTTTTGGGCATAGGCGATCCACACTGCCTGCTACATCCACAATCGTGTCCTGATCAACAAAGCCCAAATGCAGACCCCATAAGAAATTTTGTATAATCACAAGCCATCCGCTGCTCATTTCTGAATTTTTGGATGTCCTTGCACCCTCCTTCACTTAAAGTCCAACCCCAAGTTCAATTCGAAAGCTGATGACTGTAACTTCGTGGGATATGCTGTGCGGACTGCTTACTGTGTCTATAAAAAGAAAACCAAGTAGATTGTTGAATCTTTTGACATGTGCTGGCTGGAGGTGAATGAGACAAATGCCCAAGTCGGTCCTAACTGGTTATTTGATTACGTTTCTTTATTTAAATCATTTAATGTGTTTACAGATGACGTGTCAGGTTCCTTCTTAGGTAATAAGGTTATTATTAAGGATGAAGAGGAAGATGTTGTGTACAGACCACCTCTGCTGCCTCCTACAATCCCTAGGTTGGGTGACTTTGCTCCAAGTACTTCTTCAAATTCTCCTACTCAAAGAATCAATCCTGATGTTGAAGCCACTCCACTCACTCTTGCTGAAAGATAGTTAATGACCAGAGATACTTCTGCTACTACTCAAACTTTCATGGAGCTTCTCTTTCCCAAGCCGATTGCAAATGAGTAAGTGACAAGCACCTCTCACGGTTCAAGATCATCTGAGGTGGATGAATCAACAGATGACAGACTTATCAACATCAATAACCTTCCTGTCACAATCAATGATATTATCCATGAGATCCCCACCATACTTCAATGCGATCATCCGATTGAAAACATCATTGATCAACTAGGCAACGGAGTCAAAACGGGGAGTCAGAGTAGAGATGTCAACACACGTCTCTACTCTTGCTTAATATCTCAGACCGAGGCAAAGAATGTCTAAATGGCACTAAATGAGCCTAATTGGGTGTATGCAATGCACAATGAACTTAATTAATTTGAGAAACTGGGGGTGTGGAAATTGGTTGAGCTGCTAAAGGGAAAAAAGTCTTTGGAAATGCGTTAGGTATTCCATAACAAGCAAGATGATTATGGGGTCATTGTGCAAAACAAAGTGCGTTTGGTCGTTCGTGGGTTTCAAAAAATTGAAGGACTTGACTACACTGAAGTGTATGCTCCTGTAGCGCGTCTTGAAGCTATTCGTATCTTCATGGCGTATGCCTCCTAGATGGGGATCACAGTTTATCAGATGGATGTTAAGATTGCCTTTCTATATCACTACTAGAAAAAATGCCTTTTACGACGCGCAAAACACGACGCTCTTTGATTTATGTTACGCATTAGAGAGCGACCTTAAAAAAGTGTCATCTCTTCAAAAATTTTAAGGATTTAGGTCGCGCATTACTGAGTGCCCTTAAATTAGTGTCTCATGTAAAAATATTAAAAAAACGGAAGGCACTTGTGCGTCGTATGTGAATGTCGTTTTATATTTTCTTTTAAGAAACGCGCGTCTCGGTGGGAAAATGAAATCCCCAAAATTTTTAAACCCCACCTTCTTCTCCCTTGTCTCCACCCCTCATCCACATCCACTACCTCCAATCCTCATTGCCTCTTCCAGCCTTAAACTATGGCGATGCACCTTCCTTCTCGAAGAATGCTAAATTTATGACCATCATCCGATTATGCGAGCCCAATGAATTGACGTAGACGAAGAAAATTATGGATCAATCGCTTCACATCATGTTTAAGGTTAAGGGTTTGAGATTTCTTCCAAATCGAACCTCACACTAAATGGTTCGATCTCCTCTCTTTTTAGATTGTTCCCTCTACTGATGCCTCCACCTTCTACCATCGATGTTGATCTTTGAATTAGCAAGAAGAAGCCCTAGGGCCTCCGCCTTCACCCACGTTCTCACAGTCGATGTGGAGCTAGAGAGAGAGTTTATGGTGTGTAAAATACAACATTCTTAAACCAGGGGATTCAAATAAATAGCATAACCCAAACCCTTTACGGTAATTGGGAGCCAATCAGGGCAAAACGCAACCCTCAGACCACTTTTGCTCTCAAGAAACCTACGGTACGTACAAATTTTCTTTTCTTCCTCTTCCTTTTCTTATCGGTATTCTTTCTCCTCCCTTCCTCTCCGGTGGTCGCCATTGTTGCCTTCTTTGACCAGCCCTACCCTTCCCTTTTCCCCAACCTAGGAGCATCTGTCGACGACTTCTCTGCTTCATCCGTTCAACAGATTGTCGATCACTGCCTCTACGATACCATCAACTGCTCCAGACCTATGAACAACATGTCTAAATCTCGCATCTAGATAGTGAAGATAAGGACATGTTGAATATTGAGAGGCAGTTTATGGGCGTGAAGCCCTAAATGTGATTGTGTGTGAAGGAATGGAATTAAGCATTCCTCCCTGTATGATACATTTGTTGCATTATCTGCTTGCCCCTTCCCCTGAACCATGGCCTTCTTCAATCCAAACCAGGTATGAACAGATATCTTTGCGTGTGTATGTGTAATTTGATTCTCTGTGTGTATGTGTAAATGGCCATTTTAACTTGTGTTCATATATACACAAGCAAATTATACATCTTATGCCTCAAAGGAGCTCTATGGAAATCTATTATAACTTGAAGTTGATTCAATTATTCCACTGTTTATGCAGCTTTCTTCAAACAGTTTGGCGAAATCCTGAGAATTAGGATAGCAACGAAAATTAGGATAGCTTTCTTCAAACAACTTTTTTAAAACATAGTCCAATTCACTCACCTGTTAACTTAAGTTTTTGTCAAATCTAATGAGGAGACTTGAACTTACTATCTATGAAAAATATGTACAGGTTGCAAACATTGTTGCTGAAACAATGCATAATTACCTTTTGTATGAGTATTTGTTGCAATTATAGCTCATCCCTCCAAAACGTGTTCATCCTAAATTGTATGTAGACATTTCAATATAATATTCCAGTCAAAGTTGTTGACTTGTACTTATGAACTTGTGTTTATGATTTCACCTGTTAACTAAAGTTTTTGTCAATTCTAATGAGGATAAATTTGTTGCTTTATTACACTATTACTGCTTATTTGATCATGGAAGTAGCAGGAACTTGCTAGTAATGATGAAGTCTTTTAGGTTTTTGGTTGTGATTCCACCTGAAAATGTAACATACTGGAAAGATTCCACGTGAATGAACCCAAATCTTATGCCAGCTGTCTTGCAATGCTTAATGGCCATTGTTCATCGTGCTTTTGAGACTGCATTATCATGGCTGGTGATTCTTTTTCTTATGAATTCCTTTATATTATGCATTTTTATTTTTATGTGTGGAATGTTAGGTGAATCTTGTAATGGATGCAGGAGGCTCAAATATGCGAGACAGGAGATGCTGCTGAGGTCAGAGAGTCAACTCTGGTTGTCCATGCTTGTTTTCTCATAAAGAGTTTGTCTGTTAGAGAAGAACACATTCGGGATGTATCTGTTAATCTGTTGTCTCAATTGAGAGAGAGATTTCCACAGGTAAACTGTTGACCTGTATTACAAATTTATGAGCTTTTATATGCTATCTCCTGTAAAAAATAAATTACATTACCTATAATGGTAAAAAGAGTAAATGATTTGCCCTTTACTTTAAGTAACATTCTATTGGGTGCAGATTCTGTGGAAATCATCTTGTTTGGATTCTCTTTTGTTCTCTGTGAATGGTGATCCACCTTCATCTCTCGTGAATGATCCTGCTTCAGTAGCTTCTGTTCGCTCTTTGTACCAAAGCGTTGTCAAGGAGTGGATTGTTGATTCGCTATCCTATGCTCCATGCACCACCCAAGGTCTTCTTCAGGTTTGTGACGTTAATGACCATATTACCCTTATATTCTAGACTGAACAAGCCTTTTAAATGAGACTTAATGACCATATTACCCTTGTATTCCAAAAAAACAAATTTCACAATATTCATCAATTTTAAATTTAACTCGTTAAGTCATTCTGTCCAGTTTAAGTAAAAAAAGAAACAAGCCTGTAGTCTCAAAAGGTTCACTTTGTTGTAGTTTATTAAGTCTAACAAACTGACTGTGTCCAAACATAAACATTTCAGGAGCAACTTTGTAAAGCAAACACATGGCAAAAAGCACAGCCCACTACAGACGTTGTCTCTCTTTTATCTGAAATAAAAATAGGAACAGGGAAAACGGATTGTTGGAAGGGTAAAAAAACTGCCAACATTCCTGCAGTAATGGCATCTGCAGCTGCTGCATCGGGTGGAAATTTGAAGTCAACAGAGGCGTTTAATATTGAGGTTCTTAGCACTGCGTTGAATGAACATTGCAAATTCTAGATTGACGATGAACAATGGCCATTAAGCATTGCAAATTCTCAAATTTGATATTTTTGAAATCTCCAAGAACTTGATCTTTTCTGCTCACCAATTTTACTATTTAAAAAAAATTATTGCAGCCTGTTCACTTTGGATTTGTTGTTTCAAAGTATCTTCACGAATCTCTTAATTTGGGAGGAATCTCATGTATAAAATGCATAAGAGAAACGGGAACACAAGCCCTAAAACTAATACAGGTAATCAATTATCTATTTCAATATTTTCTAATCATTGTTGATTGATTCCTTTTTGTAATAAATCATATTTGTTGATGCAGAGCTACCCAACCAAAATTCCCTTGGTAATCGAATAAATTGTGGTTGGTAATGAAGTTTTTGCATACCCTTGTCAAGTGCTTGGATAGTAGTGACTGGACCCATATGGAAGGTGCCTCAGATACTTAATTTTTGTTTTTCTTTGAACATTTGTTCTTTTTTACTGTTTCTTGATCTTATGCGGTGCTTTTATTTGTATAGTTATTTCAATCTCCACATGCCATGCATAATGAAGATGCCATGGAAGAATATATGTTCTTTGAACATTTGTTCTTTTTTACTGGGATGTGTTGACCAAGAAAGAAGCTAGGTATTTCAACAACGACAAAGAGTTAATGAAGTTGGTGGGCAACACTGGTGCAGGGCCTAATAATGTTTCTTCTGCATAACAAAAGAAGAACAAAGAAAGATCTGATGATATGCTCATGGAGATGAAGATCGGTTCTGCTAAAAAAAAGGTACGTTGAATTACTGATCATTGATTGATATTGGGGTTTGTTGGTCAAAGGAAGGTTTTTCTTTGGGCATTTTCTTCTAGATAGATGTTAGTACAGGGGTTTATGAATAAGGTTTCTTTGGTTTGGCCTCCTGACAGCAATTTACTTGGTGTTCTCTTGTTGATCATATGATGTACATCTCATCGTTTGCTTTTGGAGATAGCTAGTTTTCAATGAAACCCAAAGTTTGTAGGAAGATTAAGTTTCTTTACAAGGCCCATATTATATTTCCATGTTTTGGGAATCTTTAAAATTGTCTGCCTTGACGTCTTTGATCAATGAATCTTTCCTATTGAATGAATCTACAGCTGAATTTATTGATTTGGTGGTGTTCAGGGCTGCTGAAAGCTCTAGTGAGTCTGCAAATCCAGTAGAGTCAGAACTATATATTGGCAGGTAGCTAACCTTTCGGACACAGTAGAGTCAGAACTATATATTGTATTTACTTATTATAATATAAAAAAAATCTAGGTCCCAATGCTTTGCTGATTACCATGGATATGGTGGTTTAATTTAAAAGAATTTGAAAATGACCATTTTACCCTTATATCTATTTGGGAGGTAGCTAACCTTTTGGACGCACAAAATACTTCGCATTTATACTTTGGGTCTTAAACTTATCATTTCTTCTTTGTAAACGTGTTTATGAGGGATACTCATTTTCCAGTTTTGGGTGGGTTAATTTCTCATTTGTAGCTTCATTTAAAATTTTAATCACTCTGTGCTGTGTTATCATGTATGGATTTGTATTTATTTTGGGAATGCACTTGTAGAGACCATTGAGCTTACTTGGACAAATTTAGGGGTACCTTTAGATGGCATATCTGCTTTAACTTTGGTATTACCTCTCTCTCTCTCTCTCTCTCTCTATCTGCCTCTTTCTAGCTCTATACACTTTTAGAAATTCCACATGCTTGTGCTTATTGCTACTTCCATAACAAAGAACATTTGGATTTCTTTATTTTTACCAAAAATGCCACAGAAATAGCATAACACTTCCATTTCCTTTTTATAGTCCAATGACCTTATTTGAGCTACTTTTTTCTTTTCTCACACAATTTCCTTTTATTCCTTTCTGGCAGTTGTTTTGCGCATGATAAGCTTTCAGTATGACTACTATTCCTCAGATCATAATCCTTATGTCTCTCTTCATTATTGGATATGGGGTGAGACTTATTTTCACAACCTGCTCACTTATTCATACATAAATTCACTGTCTTATGTTGCCTGCATCATTTACCACATATAGGTCCTAAACTTCATGTGGCTCAAAATTTTCCTCATATGGCGTTACTTCCGATTTTGGGAACTGGTAAGTAAATGTAAATCCCCATTTTTTTTAAATACAATATAGTAAAGTAATTACATTACACACGACTATAACTTGGAAATCTTTTGGAAAAAATGGCTTGCTTCCTTGAACAAATGGCTTGTCAGGTAAAGGACAAACTAGAGAAGTGAGTTGAAGAGATGCTGGAGCCCTTAGAGAAGCTAAGGACAAACTAGAGAAGTGAGTTGAAGAGCTGACATGGAGATTAGACTTTGAAAAGCATTTGAGGGTATATTATTTTTTATATTTCTTGTATCTAATTAGTTTGTAAATTTTTGTAACAACTTCTATTAATTTGTTTTATCTTTCCATGGAACGATTATTTGTATGATATTAAATTTTATGTAATAGATTGTATTTTTTGTATATGATATTTTATTTTCTATTATGAGATATTAAACACAAATTTAATTTGAAAATTAGTAAATCTATAAATAATAATTTTTTTAACATTTAAAATTATGATACGCAAAAATGTGTGTCATCTTCATTTATGACATGGCCTTTCTTGACAGGGTCTTTCTTGATATGCAATGCGTGTCATTAACACGCACGTCGTAAGGTTATGACACGTGAATGCGTGTCGTCTTCCTTTATGACAGGGCCTTCCTTGATACGCATTGCGTGTCGTAAACGCGCGTCGTAATTGCGTGTCGTAAATGAGCGTCGTAAATGCGCGTCGTCTATAGACGATGCGCAAAAGCGCGTCGTCTCTCTTTATGACATGGCCTTCCTTGACACGCATTTGCGCGTCGTCTGAACGTTTTACGACGCGCAATGAGCGTCGTAAAAGGCCTTTTTTCTAGTAGTGTATGGAGCCATGAAAGAAGAGATTCACGTTGATCAACCTCCATGTTTCGTCAACTCAAAGTTTCCAAATCATGTCTACAAATTAGACAAGGCTCTATATGGGTTACATCAGGCTCCTTGGGCCTGGTATGCTACCCTAACATATCATTTGCTCGAGCATGGTTATACCAAAGGCACGATTTATCAGACGCTCTTTATTAAGTATGTGGATGGAGACATAATTTCTATGTCGATGATATCATTTTCGGTTCAACGAGTCAAAAGTTTTGCACCGAGTTCGATACCATTATGAAGAAGAGATTCGAGATGAGCTCCTTAGGGGAAATGACCATGTTTATGGGTTTGTAGGTCCATCAAGATTCAATCGGGATCCTGCTACATCAAGGAAAATATGTTGAAGACATGCTTGAGAGGTTCGGGTTCAAAGATTCAAAAGCTCCCTTGACACTGATGGGTGAACGACCCCTGTTGACTCCAGATCCTAAAGGCGAACCCATAGATCGGACAAAATACATATCGATGATTGGGTCCCTGATGTATCTGACTGTGAGCAGACCAAATATCATGTTCGCAGTTTGTTAATGTGCACGATATCAGGCTAATCCTAAACTATCTCACTTAATTGATGTTAAAAGTATCTTTAGATATCTCAAAGCTAGCCCTAAATTGGGTGTTTGGTACCCGAAGAATCCTAAATTTGACTTATATGCATTTGCTGTCAGCAATTACGGAGGTTGTGAACTTGATAGGAAAGCAACTTCTGTAGGATGTCAATTTTAAGGTTGTCGTCTAATGTAATGGCAGTGCAAGAAACAACAAATTGTCTCAACCTCAACGGCGGAGGCGGAATACGTTACTACTTCTGCCTGTTGCTCTCAAGTCATTTGGATTCAACATCAACTGTTGGATTATGGTTTGAATTTTCTTGAAATTCCTATCTTCTGTGACAATGATGTCGCAATTCAAATAGCCAAAAATCCTGTCCAACACTCTAAAACCAAGCACATCGACATCAAAGTTCATTTTATTAGAGATTGTTATGAGAGTTTGCTCATTCGGTTGGAGCAGATCCACACTGATATTAATGTGGCAGATCTATTCATAAAACCGTTTCAGAAAGCTCGGTTTGATGTGCTGGTGGGCTTTCTAAAAATGTTACATTTTGAGGACTGATTTTTGTTTTAGGTAGGTTAAATTTACGCATTTAGTTTCCATTCTCTCCTATGCACAAATTTAGGGGGAGAAATTAAAAAAAAAATAAAAAATTAGAAAATCATAAATCCAAAAATAGTGTTATTTATGTTTTTTTTTTTCCAGAAAATATCAAAAATCCAAAAATAGTATCTCATGAAAGCCATGTCTGCAGGTGATATGTTGGGAAGTTATATCAACTCAGTGATAACACCCAATGTTAATTTGTGTAAGGTACCAAAGCTGAAATAATGTAGACTCTGTGTTCGATGTGCTGGTAGGCACGAAAGATTTAAATGGACCAGACTAGGTGTAGATTGACATTTTAAAAGGGACTTGACAAACAAATGACTTAGATAGTTCCGTTTGGTTTGACAATACGATGCTCGGTAGATTGAGCAGTAATCTATACATGAGAATCTACATGCTACACTAAAGTAATCAGTATCTAGAACTGTAGCGTAACTCTTTCTCGATGTACGGACGGATGTCCTTAATTCTGGTACTGATAGGGCGACTAGGGAATTCCGATAAAGTAGATCTGTAGAAAATTATTTTCTTTCTTTTTTCTGTCAGTCATATGTTGCCTCCTCTCCGTGATCGGGAAATTTGACCTAGACTGGAACATATGCAACTCTATTTCTATGCATCTTCTTATCTATGCAAATTCTTTCTGTCTGTTAGTCATATGTTGTCTCCTTTGCGTGATAAGTTCTTATCCGACATGGAAGACAACATATGCACCATTCTATTTCTCAATCCCTCTATCCAGTTAGTCATATGTTCATCCCTCTTCGTGATTGGAAGATCTGACCTGGGTGTACAACATATGCATTCTAAACCTGACTTCCCTCTTAATAGTTGTCTGATCATCTAAAGTAATGAGTATTCTGGAAGTTCTTGATTACCGGAGTATGTCAGGAAGCAGGAAACACATTCTAGTTCATCTAAAAATGAACATTGAATTGGTTGTTTGTAGATCTCGCTGCTAAATTTAGGTGGATAACAATATTCATGGTTGTCGTCAGCTAAATGGTCTTCTAGGGATATCATTTAGGATCATAGGGTCAAATGTCTTATCACCTGTTGTATGTCCAAATTTGTCACAATTTTTCGTGTTTAAGTGGACCATAATACCAGCGATTGACCGGATCTACTCATGAATGTGGAAGTACTAAAAAACAGATTAAGGTTGTCCCATAACTTTAATCCCAAAATCACAAAAAGAATATCTGCATTGGTGAAAAGAAATTAATGATATTTTATTTTATTTTTATGATATTTTATTTTATTTTCCTAAAAATTAAAAAATTTTAAAAATTGCACCACCTTTTGGCACCATTTTAAGGTATCAAGTTATGAACTTGGTGAAGTTTCGTATAGATCTTGTGTTGGAATAGTTTTTGGCCCTTTTGTCCCAAATATGGAGATTCATGAACCTAACATATTCTTGACCCATTAAGTTGTCCTTTCATACCTTAGGAGGGGTCTTACATCATAAAAATGGTATCTAAGTGGTTGGTTTTGCTACATGCATTCTCTAAAGGGTCTTAATGGATTAAGGAGTTGAGCTAAGAACTAAATAGACATGCAATGTCATAAAGTTGGAAATTTTATGTCTTTTGAGGGTATTTTAGCCATGGATCTGGAAGTGAGATGTAAGGGCTTAACACATTAATCCCTTCACGAAGTTTGGGAAGTTTGGGCGTACACCCTGTGTAACTTGAATACGCAGCGCCTACGTGATCAACCCTCGCGATGTCGGTCAAAGTGGGAGTGCGCCCACATACCCTTGGAGTACGCCTAACGTACGTCTTTTGAGTTGACTCGACTGAGTCAACTTGGTTAGGTTGGCTCAGTTAACTTATTGATTTTTATTAGTTTAACTTTGACTTTGTCCAAGTTTGACCCAGGGGTATTTTGGGTTTTTTAGTTGGTGTTGAGAATGTACTCTTGGATGGAGATTTAAAATTGGTATTTTGGTTGGATAGGTGGCGGTTAAAGCTGAGACTAGGAGTCAAGACCTCATCAGCTATGGATCAGATCGAGAGGTGATTTTCCTCATTGTACTTCGGGTCTAAGGCACTAAGGCCGGCCCACTGGATTGATATCCTGTTATACACTAATATAATGAGTCTAGAATAGATCTGCATGATTGTATGCTAGTTGTTGATATGCTAGTCAAGTAGATCTATAGGACTACCTATGATTTTGTCTGCATGATTACCAGTATATGTTTGTTATCTTGTATATGTAGACATATTGTGTTGGGTTAACATTGTATTGCTTTGTGTTGTAGCCAACAAACCCTAGAGCATCCCAGATATGAACTTAGGGTCAATTTGGGCATGCAAACTCATGCTAAGGGCTCAATAGCATTCTAGATACGAACTGAGGACTGAATGGTATGCCAGACTCGTACTGAGGGCTAAACATTGATATTCTAGTCGGATGAATGATTGCACTAGGAAGCAAGCCAGACATAAGTTATGGGCCTCGAGGGAAAGACAAATGTATGACATGGGCATAGGATAAAGCTATATATAAGTTATAGGCCTATTATGCAAGCCAGACTCATAGTACGAGATCAGGGGTAATCCAGTCTTTTAGCTATGGACCTAGTACATGTTGTTATTTGTATATGTTATCTGTTTGTGTGTTGGAACTTTGGGGGAACTCACTAAGCTTCGTTCTAACAACTTTTTTTATGGTTTTAGGTACTTCAGAGGACCGTGGCATGGCGAAGGCATGACCATACACATCCTTGGTTTTACAATTGATTGGATCTTGGGAAGCTTTGAATTTAAATCATGTTTTGGAAACAATGGTTTTGTAAACACTTTAATTAGTAAATAGGTTGTTTTGAAAGGTTTAAATTTGTTGAAAGTTTTGGGATGTCATTAGTGGGTATCAAAGCCTTGGTTTGAGTGAATTGGAGTAACACTCGTGTGTATCCAGTCTCAAACTAAGGAAAAGGGTTCTAAATATT